AGTCACTGCAATCAAATACATTAGTTTTGAATGCATATGTCAAGTAAATCGATTATCGGTGTGCTACTACAAAGCAGCAAAGAAAATTGGTTTGACAATTGCTTGTGTATTGTTCCTTTTAATCGTAAAATTATTATGATTTAATTGCATCATAATTGTCAAACAAGAGAATAAATATTAGCATATTGTCTGTTTCACCAATTTTATTACATTGCAGAAGCAAATGCTAACAAAATGGCAGACAGTTCAACTTGAATGCTTAATTAGCTACTGCTAATTTAATGGGAATGCTTTTTGATTGATAATTTTTAAAGGAATGAATAATCTATTTAGCATTGCACTACAACTCAAATCTTAAAGTGCAAAACATCAATCATCGCTTAGCGTGTTGACGTTGCAAAAACTCCCTATAACGTCATTTACGGTCCAATACAGTAAAAATAAAACTTTTAAATAAACTCTACGTTCATGTAACCAATGGCATCAACATGTTTAAATTTCGAGAGCGTGAAAAATTAAATTTGAGTAATAAACACAGTAATTGTATCAAACCATTTGTCATTCGCAAGGCTCAATTGAAATACAATGCAATATCTGAACAAATAACATAACACCTCATGAATATTCAAACATCGTTCGAATTATCGGCAAAACATAAATACTGTATATAGTTGAGCAATTATGAACTTCAATAATAAAATTTTCAAATTTTTACTTCGGTTCGGAACACTTGAATGATCTCAATGACATGAGATTAAATAATCACATCTGTTTTGATACTATCCCAATATCATGTGTTGGAAAGTCTCATTAAGAATGAATTGCGCCAACCGCATTATTGCTCTGTAGTCATTAATTATATGGCTTGTCTCATTAAAGATCTCGTTAAATCCCATCGCTGAACGTGAAGTAGTTTCAGCTAGCAAAGCAATTTTCGAACGTACGTTCTTGAAATTAATGTTATTATTTATAGTCATCGTTCTTCGTCACAATTCTACATTCATGGAATAATATTTAGATATATATAAGCCATTTTGGTGAGTCTTTGATACTCAGTTCTCTCATCCTCTGAATTATTTAAATGTAGGGACCTTTAGTGCACCGACACATCTTTTCAGTAATACTGCAGGGACCCCATCCGGCCCGGGAGCCGAATACGTAGATAATTCTTGGATACTCCACTCTAGATCCGGTGTTTCAAACTCAATGCTCATCAGCTCCCGATCCCCTGGAAGTTCTTGAATGACTCCAATTTCGTTCTCCTGCCTTGCGTTTCGGGGTCCCAAATTGAGCTCCCAGAAGTTCGCACATGACCTTGTCGTCTCCAACAAGGACATCGTTATTTTTCAAAGGCCCCACTGAGGCTCTGATTTTGGCCTTTGACCGGGCATATTTGTAGAAATATTTGGGATTCTCTCGAATGGCAGACAGCGCTGTGCTGTATAGTGTGAAGTTTGCTACAGTACAGCACAGTATATAGTCTATAGCACAGTATATTTACGGACTAATACAGTAAAAATAAAGCCGAATAGAAAACTCTGCGTTCATGAAACAACTGTGCTGTACTGTAGCAAACTTTACACTATGTACTGTGCTGTACTGTGGCAAACGTCACACTATATACTGTGCTGTAGCAAACTTCACACTATATACTGTGCTGTACTGTAGCAAACTTCACACTATATACTGTGTCCTTGGTATCCTTGGTATTTGTTTCGGAAGTAGCAGTCCCAGGCCACGATGGAGTCCCAGGCCACTTGTGTCACAGCAGTCTCAGGCCATTTATCCTCGTGACACATAAGCTGTATAATAAGCTTTCGACTCGGCGTCTGAGGCAAGCTCTCTGTGACACAGTGGACTCGTAGCTAACTAGGTCTGCTGGTAAACACACGAGCATTTGTTTCCACAAATTACTCTCGGACACGACCCCACCCCCTCAGACAAGATCGTCCTCGATCTTAATTAAAATCAGAAAACATTAGGATAGATTTATCTATTAGCTAACACCGAGTCACTGCAATAAAATACATTAGCTTTGAATGCATATGTCAAGTAAATCGATTATCGGTGAGCTTCTACAAAGCAGAAAAGAAAATTGGTTTTACAATTGCTTGTGTATTGTTCCTTTTAATCGTAAAATTATTATAATATAATAATTTTACGAACCCAACCCTGTCAAAATTTAGCCGCGGCAGACGGTCTGGTTTCGGTTGTCAGTCTCGGATTAGAGATGATTCAGATGTGAAATGGCCGCATCTCATAATTAGCCGCCCAAGATGTGTATAAGAGACAGAGCTTGAATATTTTAGCTAATAAAGTTAATAGTAGTAACCTTCTAATTCCAATAGAAGTAAAGCTAAAGCATTAGAAATAATATAATGCCTCAACATTTATAGAAGAATATCAACATAATTGTAGCAAACTTATAACATCGATAGAGCTTCTGAGATAAATCAATATAAAACTAAATAAAACGTTCATTATTTACCCCACTCGCGCAAGCTAGACGGCATATTAACCAAGATAAATTATAGTCTAAATTATAATTGTATTTATTATGGCACTTGCAGCACGTGGGCAAATGATTGCATTTCAATCTTCATTTAAGCTCCATTTATCTGCGATTGTACCGCTTTAGTATTGCGTTCTTTGATAAATTTTTCTCGTAAGGCCCTTTGGAAGTGCAGCTAAGTCTTCAAAAAATAAATGACGGAGTAATTACAAAAATATTTGGTTTTTCGCCCAGAATTGAATGCATGTTCGCTTGTATGTTATCGGTAAAACTTTCAGTTATGCTCAATTGAAGAAGATAAGCCACTGCCTGATAGAGTTCTTTCAGTTTCAGTCATATGCCTTTCTCGATTCTTATGATTTTTAATTAATTATTTCTATGCTGAGTAAAAGAATTGTGTCAATTCTTATTTGTCCGCGACTAATTGTCGACGGTATATATAGAATTTAGGGTTGAGCGTTTTCTCAACTTTTTGAAGTTCGGCTTCACAAAAGTGGGAAATAGTTGTAAGTGTGCTTAAAAAACTATNGAATTGTAGCAGTGAGTTGCGAGTTCGAGACCGCAAAATGCTGTGAATGTTCTGCGATGTTAAGAATCGGCGACAGGCCTACGGCCTAATAACGCTGAAACCGCTATATTATTATTATTATTATTATTATTATTAATTTGAAATACAATGCAATATCTGAACAAACAACATAACACCTCATGAATATTCAAACATCGTTCGAATTATCGGCAAAACATAGATATATAGTTGAGAAATTATGAACTTCAATAATAAAATTTTCAAATTTTTACTTCGGTTCGGAACACTTGAATGATCTCAATGACATGAGATCATGAGATGACATGAGAGAAATAATCACATCTGTCTTGATAATATCCCAGTATCATGTGTTGGAAAGTCTCATTAAGAATGAATTGCGCCAACCGCATCATTGCTCTGTAGTCATTAATTATATATGGCTTGTCGTTAAATCCAATCGTTAAATCCCAAATTAAAGATCTCGTTAAATCCCATCGCTGAACGTGAAGTAATTTCAGCTAGCAAAGCGATTTTCGAACGCACGTTCTTGAAATTAATGTTATTATTTATAGTCATCGTTATTCGTCACAATTCTACATTCATGGAATAATATTTAGATATATATAAGCCATTTTGGTGAGTCTTTGATACTCAGTTCTCTCATCCTCTGAATTATTTAAATGTAATAAAATCTTGTAGCCCAATTTATTTGGTATTGAATTTTAAAGGTTGCAGGTTGAAGGGCTGCAAATNTTCATCATTAGCTGGAACAGTCATGTGAACAACACAGTCATGTAGGTGGCACGGTGAGTTTAACAGTTAAGAGAATAACACAGTTCTGTGGGTGGCACGGTGAGTTTAACAGTTAAGAGAATAACACAGTCATGTGGGTGGCACGGTGAGTTTAACAGTTAAGAGAATAACACAGTCATGTGAGCGGCACGGTAAGTAGAAGTCATGCGAATAACAGTCATGTGCGATAGTGTTTAGAACTACAATCACTACAAGAATGCGTGCGTGCTCTCTACACGTCCGCGATCAATGTTTCCGAGTGGAATCCAGCAGCCAATCAGCTGAGTTTCCTCGCCAAGTAGCCTGTAAAGTTTAAGTAAAGGACGACTCCAAATTGATTCGATAATTAACCCGAAACTGCCACCGATCCTCAACACGGGAGAAATGAAAGCATAATAAACAATACTTTGTTGAACAAAACACGCTAATTGAACACTAATAAATGAGAGGTTGTAACTGGACCTATAGTGACTAAGCTAATTTGACAACAACTACGAAACTAAACACAAGATAGGTAAAGCAGCAAAGACACGCAGTAATGGTAGTACACAGCAATGGTAGTACACTGCAATGGTAGTACACAGAAATGCTAGTACACAGCACAGCAATGGTAGTACACAGCAATGGTAGTACACAGCAATGGTAGTACACAGCAATGGTAGTACACAGCAATGGTAGTACAGAGGACTGATGCTACACTTGCACGACGAGGCACTGAAACTGATAGTGCACAGTCTGAAGAGCACTGGGCTTATAGTACACAGCAAGAGCTATATGAACTTGGGTTGAGACTGGACTGGTGCAGGTACTGGAGTTGGGAAGTACCGTCGAGGTCGGCCCAACTAGGAGCTGCATGTGCATGCCGGGCAAAGAGTCGGTCCTAATAGGGACGCTACAGGTGCACTCGACGCTACAGGTGCACTCGAAAATAGTGACAGTAGGTACGCTCCGACCAAGTGGCAGCAATCGAATGAGACGAACTAACAGGGGCTACAGGCCGGTAACGCCACGCCATCAAATAGCATGGTTGCCAACCCTACAAGCAGCCGTAAAACTTACGACACAAGAATAAATTTGAGTAACTGAAATCCTATAGGGTGAATTTCCCTTACATAGCCGTTCAGTCAACAGCTTGTAAGCAGATGGGACCTCCAAACTCTGGGAGGCTCACAGATAAGTCTGGCAGATTACAGGGATGGCACCAATTATAGTGCACTGGTACGTTCCCACTCCAGGCCACGACCAGTCCTGCACGTAACATGTTCGTGTCGCTGATGGGCTAGCGATCGAAATCTGGCACTTGTTGGGTACACTTCCATCCGCCCATTGGAGGGTGGAGTTAAGCCAGTACCAAGCCAGGCAGAAGTTGGAGCATCGCGCTTTGATCTCTGGAAGGAACAAAATTTTAGTTACAATTTGCACGTCACGTACCCTCACGTTGGTCATATCGTCCGGTTAAGTCAGGGTTTGTTCCACTACCGCACACTCGGCCACAAGTCCACGAGTTCATGGCACTCAGTTCTGCCAAACGACAAGTGAATAGGTGTAGGCGTTCCTCGAACTGACGAACAATCCACACAGAACCTGATGTAAATCAGAATCTGATGTTGCTTCGGTCTTTCCCAATACTGCAGTTCCCCCATCCGTCTGATCCAGGACTTGAAGGTTCACTAGCTGGACCGCTTCCGCAGGTCCAGCCTTCCATTATAAAATACACTCTTTGCCGTTCCTCATACATCACACAATTATTTTCAGGACAATTAGTCGAATCATCTGCAAACTGTGATGGCAACCTTTGCTTGCCGATTGATTTTATTTAAGCGGTACTTGTCGCAGCCATGAGACTGACGAGTGCACTGCGGCCGCCATGGTACTGCGGCCGCCATGGCGCTGAGGAGTGCAATGCCAGGCAGACTGCAGAGACGGGACCGTCTTCATTTCTCCTCACCTACCTGCTACCACTCATCTAATTCGGATTCATTCCGAACATTCAATGTCTGGGTCCCTAATTTTAAAATATAATCATAAAAGTCACATGTATGACTCACCGGCTCCCACTTGGGCAAGGACCTGCAGCTGCTCAGCGGCGGTCGCGACCACAGCAAACTGGAGGCCATCGGCCGCGCAGAGGTTCTGGGCGCTCAGTGACGTCACGTCCCCAGCTGTGGTGGCGCCGGTGCTGAGCTTGAACTGCATTGTGCCCTGGATAATAAGTTTGTGGTTCATCCCTTGCTTACGTGCAGGTATTGTTTGTCCTTTCTGCATTTCATGGGTTGATCTATTCGGTATGTGGTGTCAGTTACTTCGGAGAGCTCCAGTTCGTATCACGAGTTGAGTGAATTAAGCGAATTAAGAATATTTTAAAAACAGTCACAGTTTTTTGAAAACACAGTTTTGAACAATGTTTTGAAAACACAGTTTTAGCTGCATTTTACTAAGACAGTCTGACTGCTAATTTTTCCGTTAAGGCTTTCAATCGAGGCGGGGTAGGGAGTTTAACCGGAAACTGAAGTGAAGCCCTTAACCTGAGGCTAAGCTGGAGGCGTATCTTTATAGAGGCATTGGATATGGCGATCACCTGAGTCTGAGGCAGAGGCAAAGGTGGCAGGGGGTAGCTGGAGTACAGGAGGCAGGATGGCTCTGAGGATAGCCAGGTCCCTGCGTGATAGTTTGAGGTCGCCAGGATGCAGTCTGCGGTCTCTTCTACGCAGAAGACAAACGCAGGAGAACTTTGCGATGAAGCGTGCGCTGCACACTGGACAAAAAAAAAAAAACGCTCTAATTTTGTTTAAGTATTCTACATCGCAGCTATGTAATCTAGACTGGACGAATAGGTAATAGTATTGTGTATTTCTTGTACTCTACAAAAAAATTCAGCTGGGATAGCGGAAAAAGGTCAATAGACCCTTATTCACCACTGATTCTCTGGAGGAGAATGTTCACCTGAATGTTATTTTCATTGCAAGAATCAGGCAACTAACGAACGTTTATTTCATCCATGAGTGTATCAGTACAGGGAAGTAAATCTTTATGCGTATTATATCCTGTGGCTTCACAAAAAATAAGAATATTCCAAGAAATGTTTTAAAGAATAAGTAGATGACAGTAGAAATGAAATTATTCTCATTTTCGTTCGATCTGAGTTTATCGCTTCTCACCCTGATGACGCTGCCAGCCTGTACAGCGCTGGCGGTGACGTTAGAGCAGAGGGCGGCTTCGCGGTAGTGCAGGCGGTAGGTCGTATATGGACGCCCCAGGACACGTCCACCACCAGCAGGCACAGCAGGAACAACTGCAGCATCCGCCTCATTCTGTGCGACATTTTCAGGTACCTAAGAATAATAGTTTATAATGTCGCGATAGGTAACTAGGTTCCTTTGAGCTATTGGTTCTAGTATCGCGAGAGGTAACTAGGTTCGTTTGAGCTATTGGTTCTAGTATCGTGAGAGGTAACTCAGCTCCTAACTATTGGAAGTCTCAAGGTCACCGATGAGTTCACCTATGGGACCAGCTGCAATGAATTGTTCAGAAAAATAATATTATGTGCCGACATTTGCTAGTGTATTTTTTATGCGCAATTCGAGCTTTCGTGCAAAGTGGCAGATGAAAAATTGAAATTTCATATCAAATTTCAACATGGAAGAGTTCATCATAAAAAAGCGCTGCTTGAAGAATTCTTTGCTAATTTTTGGTGCAGTTCATCACACCAGAAACTTAGCGCCCTCCTGCAGCGGCCACAATAGCGCCCTCCTGCAACTATCCTGCAACAGTACCTTCTAGCCGCTCCCTCCTTGCTAGCCCATAACGCTTGCGGCAGCTTCCGCCGACCACTGCGGGTATTGCGTCAGATGTCCTGTAACAGAGAAGCCATTTAAAAATGACAATACTAATATTTTCATGCTTCAAACAGGAAACGGGAATTCGACGCCCAAAGAATAGGTCCCGGTTATGCCAAAAATATAAATTTCTCTCTTTCAAGAACGTATGTAGGATGGGAAAAGAAACTCAGCTGAATTCGACTGAAGGGAAATTTTATAATTATTTACCGGGAAATTTTATAATTATTTATTTCATAGCAGGAGAATTAAAGCGATTTCTATTACAATTATACAACACAATTCGCATGCTAAATAATTCTATCGCCCTTAATAATTTTGATTTTAAGTGGAAGCTTAATATTTTTCAGTTTCGAGTAAGGCCGAAACCCACAAGACTGATCAATAAAAACTGGCGTGAAAATTAAAGGAAAACAAATTATTTTCAACGGAAAAATTGTTTCGATTTTTATTGTCCGATTCCAACTCGCATTCGAATCTTTTAATTAATTTTTTTGCCGATTTCAGGTAAGTACTCTTCGCCACTTTTTGGTTACGTGCCGCGAGGCAATCTTTTTGGACACGGTGCATATCTCATCCATGTACAAAATCTTGACCAATTTACGGTAAACATCAAGTTTTTGATGATTAAGTTTACGGCAGAAATCAAATTTTTTATGAATAACTTTACGGCAAAGATCAAGTTTTTAATAAATAAGTTTAAGGCAGATATCAAGTTTTTGATAAATAAGTTTTCGGCAAATTTCAAGTTTTTAATAAATAAGTATAAGGTAGAGATCAAGTTTTTGATAAATAAGTTTACGGCAGATATCAAGTTTTTGATAAATAAGTTTACGGCAGAGATCAAGTTTTTGATAAATAAGTTTACGGCAAATTTCAAGTTTTTGATAAATAAGTTTACGTTAGAGATCAAGTTTTTCATGAATAAGTTTACGGCAGATATCAAGTTATTGATGAATAAGTTTACGGTAAATTATCAAGTTTTTCATGAATAAGTTTAAGGCAACTTTCAAGTTTTCGATAAATAAGTTTACGGAATAGATCAAGTTTTTGATAAATAAGTTTACGACAGATATCAAGTTATTGATGATTAAGTTCACGGCAGGTATAAAGTTATTGATGAATAAGTCAAGAGTCGCGTGCCTTGCTCGCTGTCACGACAATAAGAGTCATTTCTGATGGCATTAATTGCTGTCAAGAGGACCAACTTGTACGCTGAGTTTGTTATCTTCTGACGGAATTCACACCACGTAGATTAATGAATATTGAGTGAATAGTTGATCTAAAAGGTATTTACGCAGACATACTTTAATGCTTCTTAAAAAGATCAGCGCTCGCAGTTTAAAATGGAAAGTCAGTGTCATATTTACCCCCATGCTTTTATCAACCTCAATTGTATGATGGAAATAGTTAATTAACTGAAAGAAATTATTTAAGCTTTCGAAAACACATGAAAAGATTTCATCAATCACTAAAGACAGGGACCTAAGATACCAGACTATGTCTCCGTCAGGGAAACCCGCGGTCAACCTGCCGACTGGAATAGATTTAGATTTACTGGATAATAAATAGCAGCGCCACTACCGCTGATGAGGCAGTGAGGTATTTAAGTTAGGATGACGTGAATATCACCTCCGTGACGATGAGTAATGTGAATGTCAGCTCCGTGACGATGAGTAATGTGAAATGTGATGGACACATCATCGCTGGGCTCAGCGTACCTGAGGTTGATCCCCGTTAATACCCGCTTCTCTACTTCAATTTCTTGTAATTGGATATTGATTCGTGCTCATTGGTTCATTACAGGTCGCCTTTATCGAGAATAATTCTCGCTGAGTCTCGTGTGTGATTTGCATCAATTAAATCCGGCAACTCAACGAGAAATTCTTCGGTAAATCAAATATTCATGGCCTGGGGGCCAGATATTCATGGCCACACATTACTCACCATGTGGTCTTTACCCTCTAGCGACCAGCTACCTTGCGAGGGCAAAATACTATACATTGCATTCATAAAGCATTGCTGAAATTTATGTATTGAAAAAACATGACAAGTGACAAAAACCTCCAACTGGGCATAGCATGCAGCCAATATATTTGCCCAATCGGACGAATGAGCTTCAAATATAAATAAAAATCACCCTATAATGAGAGGCGACCGATATGTACAGCTAGAGACAGAAGAGTGATTGGCCTCGACCAGACATGCGGGCACGGTCACGCACGCAGAAGTTGATTGGATGAAAGCTAGTATACGTTCAATTGAGACTGCGAATTTTGAATCACTGGTCAATTATTGCTTGGTTTCGGTTGATACCAGAATAGCGGACTGCTATTTTTTTGTGTGTAAAGAGTCATGAATGTTTTGTAGGCAACTGGCATTTGCATTAAATTTATACTAGAAATCCATTATGAGATATACAGATGGTGTTATAACCTAGAAAAAATTATTCATCCAAAAACCAAGTGAAGAAACAGTCCAAAAAATTCTCTGGTATGACCTTGACGTTTTCAATGATATGAAGTTCTGGAATAAATGAGGGGAATGCAAAATACTGAATGTCAAATACAAATAAAATAAATGTCCACAAAAGGCCGCAACATGAATAACACATACCAGATTCAGGCCGTCTCTACTTGGTCCGATACAAAGTTACATAGTTTATTATTTTCATGCAAGGTACTGACTATTGGTTGGTGAACAACATTTCGAACATGCAAGTAATTAACATCATTTTAGTTGTTATTTGGCAGTCACTTCTAGATCACAGATTAATTATAATGAAGCCACTGGCAACATATTTACGGTAGAATCTTTTTGTTGCTCATGTGACATGTCAGCTCCAAGTCCACCCCGTTCTCGTGCCTCGATGCTACACTTATCATAAATTATCATGGATGCGAACTGTCGATGACATGGCTTGATATCTTGATTATTGGATAATCCAATTAGAAGCCAATATCACGAAAATGAGAACTCCAAACTCCTTCGTTCTTAAGCAATTTCAATCAATGCTTCTAATTTTCCATTTGATCGAACATTATAGATCATTTTGCGACTAGTGAACGGAAATTCCATGTATATTAATACGTGGTCAGCTTTACAGCACACTCTATGTGAGCAGTGTTCACAAGAAAATTAGGGGTTAAATTAAAACAACATTAGGGGTTAAATTAAATTATCATTAGGCGTCAAGTTAAAACAACATTAGGAGTTGAATTAAAACAACATTTGGGATTAAATTAAAACAGCGTTAGGGGTTAATTTAAAACATTATTAGGGGTCAAATCAAAGCGATATTAAGGGTTAAATTAACACAATATTAGAGGTTTGGTCTGCGCGGGGACCAGTCTTTGTAAGGTCTGCGTGTGGCAGACACACGAGGCTTGCATCAACGCATCCACAGGAATTTACTGACTGTTTAATTTCATACTCATTGCCGACCTAGAATACTCATTGTCTCTAATAGGAATCAATGAGCAAATGTGAAGAAGACTGCATATTATCTAGGCCTTATGATGCATATTACGATGCAAAATTATCTAGGCCTGATGATGCAAAACTGATGCATATTATCTAGGCCTCGTTCCCTGCAGTGAAGCACTCATGCCGGTAAATATGAAGCACCGCAATGAAGCCTGGCGCACGAAGCATTGACGCTGAGCGAACAAGCTCAGCGTTTGTGAGCGAACAGGCATATCAGTGTCCTCAGTGGAAATAATGAGGCCCCCCGCCAATATCAGTGTATTCAGCGGAAATGAGGAATGCCTACAATGTCATTGTCCCCAGTGGAAATGAGTTTGACCTACAATTTATGTCTTATGTCTAGGTCCCCAGTGGAAATAAGGCAGGCCGGCAATGTCAATGTTTACCGTGGAAACCAACACCTGTTTACCTCGTCGCAAGTCAAGGTCCAGCGCATCAATTTCCCAGTGAATTAGCCTTCTAAATGTTTTGCATTGAACTTTTTCGAATTCATCAACTTCAATTTATGAATAAATTTTTTTTAATTGACTCAGTAACTTTGATAATTCCAAGTAATGCCAACATGAATTATCTGGCCAATTATCACCACGAATTATCTGGCTCATTATAAATTTATTTTCACATCAGTAAATCAATGCGGCTTGAATGCAAAATAAAACAGAAATATTCTATACAATTATTATCGACCACGTTATAAATGTATGAAATAAATGTATATATCAAACGCTGACAACGTACCTGGTCTACGTCGGGAGACGCCGAAGGTTGTACTGAGGACCTAACGATATGGCTCTGTTTGAAAATAAACTTAGCCTCTGCAACGCTGAAGGCTTTTACGAACATGATAACGAAGTTTGCGGACGATAATATTAAAAGTTTCGTGACGCTCGCACAGCGCTGGTGTTAATTTATAAAAGTTGGAGCGATCATTTCTGAAGTTGTAATGGCGAGAGTCAGCAATCACATGTTCCAGTTTTTGTCTTTTGGCAACTGTAAATTAATATAGCTTATAGCTACACACTGAAGTATCAGTCGTTTTAGCCATCAGCGAGCAAACTTTCGTGATATACCGCATGGACGAGTACATGTGGCCAATATTATTTGAGGTCCATGATAAAACGTGCAAGCTTTTGTTCGGCTTGATGCCACAATTTTCCAGGAATCTGGAATTGTGAATTGCGTTGAGGGCCTTAGCGGTTAATGCGATGATTGTAGGTCGTGTTGGGAGCGCTATTTGGGGGGTTGTGGGGCTGCGGTTGACCAATGTCGTTGAGGTGACAATACCGTGCTGCTGTTGGTTGAAATTTACAGCGCAGTTGATGTATTCTTAGCTGTATACTGGGTCGCAGTCTTCTGCTATTTATTACCGTTTTGCTGTACCCAGGAGTTTAACTTCGCTGAACTACTCCTAAGCCCAATTTGCTATAATTATCTCATATATTTCTTATTCATATTAAAGTAGTCGGTAAACAGTTCTTCCATGTAATGTAAAATCGTTTCCAATTTTTGACAGAATAAAGTAGGTAGTAAGTTTCTAGGTATTTGTGGATTTGTATTTGTTGCCCCATTCATATTTATTTTAGCCGGAAGTCATGTCATGCTTAGATATTTGCTTATTAAAAACCCATGTACATATATACTTCGTCAAATTCCCAAATTTCTATTTTTCATTTTTTTATGTGCGGAATTTGGTTCAGCACGTTTACAACAAGATAAAGGAAACAAACAAGAATGAATGCTATTTTACTTTCCATTATCCCTGCCTGGCATGATGAGGCGGCCGTTTGAGTTCTAGCCAAGACACTCTCAACTTATTGAAGCTGACGATAATCGTCTGAATGAAGCTGACGATAATCGTCTGAATGAAGCTGACGATAATCGTCTGAATGAAGCTGACGATAATCGTCTGAATGAAGCTGACGATAATCGTCTGAATGAAGCTGACGATAATCGTCTGAATGAAGCTGACGATAATCGTCTGAATGAAGCTGACGATAATCGTCTGAATGAAGCTGACGATAATCGTCTGAATGAAGCTGACGATAATCGTCTGAATGAAGCTGACGATAATCGTCTGAATGAAGCTGACGATAATCGTCTGAATGAAGCTGACGATAATCGTCTGAATGAAGCTGACGATAATCGTCTGAATGAAGCTGACGATAATCGTCTGAATGAAGCTGACGATAATCGTCTGAATGAAGCTGACGATAATCGTCTGAATGAAGCTGACGATAATCGTCTGAATGAAGCTGACGATAATCGTCTGAATGAAGCTGACGATAATCGTCTGAATGAAGCTGACGATAATCGTCTGAATGAAGCTGACGATAATCGTCTGAATGAAGCTGACGATAATCGTCTGAATGAAGCTGACGATAATCGTCTGAATGAAGCTGACGATAATCGTCTGAATGAAGCTGACGATAATCGTCTGAATGAAGCTGACGATAATCGTCTGAATGAAGCTGACGATAATCGTCTGAATGAAGCTGACGATAATCGTCTGAATGAAGCTGACGATAATCGTCTGAATGAAGCTGACGATAATCGTCTGAATGAAGCTGACGATAATCGTCTGAATGAAGCTGACGATAATCGTCTGAATGAAGCTGACGATAATCGTCNAGAGAACACGGACCAATATCTGCCATACTTAGCGAGAAACCCGCTATGGGCCCGTGACCCGCAGTGGGCTCGCTGCCCCATGTTACCCTATAATTTTGTTGAGTTAGTGATGGAGATGTTCAATAAAACATTTGAAGTGTAAATATAATTTTGTTGAATTAGTGATGGAGATGTTCAATAAAACGCTTGAAGTGAAGATATAACTTTGTTGAATTATTGTTGAAGATGTTCCATAAAAAGTTTGAAGTGAAGATGTAGCGATTGTACTCTTTCTTTGTCTTTAGGTTCTTGGTACGGAATTTTTTATACATCAGTTCAACAGGCACGGGATATATGGACCAAAAATAAATGTTGAGAGGGTTTGTGAGGTTTTGGTAGAAATTTAAAAGGAAGAGAAGTTGTTAAAAATTGATCAAACCTAGCGATCATTCCATGAATTAGATATATGAATAAATGGAAATGATTCTACTTTGGAAATATAATTAATGGCACAAACAGCTTTAAAGAGGTTTTAGAAAGAAATGTAGAGTAGAGGTTTTTAAAGTGAAGGTTTTAAAAAGAAATGTTAAAGTAGATCGTCAAATGATAAAGATAGCATTAAAGTAGAGGTTTTAGAAGAAATGTTTTTTTTTTAATTTGATCAAACCTAGCGCTTATTCTCATAAATTAAATATATTAATTTATTAGAATGATCATGTTTCGCCGAAACACAGAGTTCGATCTGCGTTCGTTTAAATTTATAACCTGATGAGGTTTTTTGTGATCAATTGTTAATTTAAAGGACAATCATATATATATAAAGGACAATATTTATCTCGCGCAGAAATAATCCATGGGAAAATGACGAAATGAATATTGACTGAATTGACGCAACCAGAGCACCGAGGTCTCAATTATCATATACTGTATTTATATCATTTGATAATCGAGTGTATTTTGTAGCCAACGTTCCTCCATGTCGAGGAATTGTGCTTGAATTCTCGCCAGAATTCCTCGAGACGAAAAAACTAGAAATTATTCATGTTGGGCGCAAGTTATCAATTCTCAAGTTTGGCACAATGTGCAAAAAGGGTTTCGCCATTTGTACCGAGTTTCCTTTATTTCGTTGAGTGCATTAAGGAGGAATAAGACGACTTGTTGTAATTTTTTTTATGTTCTGTGTACATACCACAATTTATAGTTCGGAAGTAACCTACTGAGTTTCGACTCAATTTTTGATCACCATATATAAACAATATTAGCTTGAGAAAACAAAGTTTCAAATAAAGAAATCAGAGTTTTTTCGAAATCGTTTCATTTTGCCTTTATGTGGGTCTTCCTGACCCAGCTTGACCCTGAAAAGGGTCACGTGTCATCATCTCCATGCACGTGCCGAAAGTGTGTCATTATTTGTATAAAATGTGTCAGCCAATTTTCCTTTACTTTGTTTCTCAGGCGTTGGCAGGGTTTCCATGTCCATCACTTTATGTTTGACCGTCAATTCCGCAACGCACCGAAGTAGAAATTTGCAATGATTGGCATGAAATTGACTCTTGTGTTAAGATTGTAATCAAGAAATTGGGCTTGTTTGCAATACACTGTTAGAAAAATTACCGTTAACGTTATTACCGGCATTTCAGTGGCCGGTCGGCACGTGAAAAGAAACACCGTTTCACCGTTTTTATTCCAATTTAACACCAGAAATCCGTAAAACATCTGATAAAAACGGCGAAACAGCGACCGGCCACTATAAGGATGCCGGTGGGACCGTTTTTTCACCGTTTTTTCTAACAGTGTAGTAAGTGGACTTGGAACTCCCATATCAGTGCTGTGGCATGCTTCAGAGTAGAGAATATATACGGGCTGCCTGTCGGAGATCACCACTGCCGTGCTTTGCATGGACCACCAAGATCCCTTCCCACTCCTCTTCTGGGAGTTTTGATCTCTTCCCTCAAACATTTCCGGACTACACATTATCAGCCGCAAGCCACCAAACAGATCACATCCATTGAAGTGGACCAGTCAGCCCACAGAAAAACAGCCTGCAATAGTATGGCCCAGAATCGTCTTCGGGGCGCAAAAAAATTCTGCATCACTCTGACACAGCGCGAGTCGGAGCCTTGCAATAATTATGAGGACCGGCACCAACCCGTCCATATTTATCATTTGCATCTAATTAGACCACGGTCGAACGGTGGCTCGTCAATGGACGATAGATTTTGCAACAGAACTATGCTATCTGAAACTTAACCTCAGATGCTGTGAGCTAAACGTTACGTAATTTAACGAAACGTCGGAAGTCATGTTCGATCCTCGGTCTGGTGGTGCAGGGCAGGATTCATGCAGTTCCACTGGCGAGCTAGGCAGACTGATCGCAGTCCGTTGTCCGCTGGTTCCAGTTGGAGCTAAAGTCAGGGTATGAAGTGATGATTCGATGTAACGTATAATGGTGGACAACCATTACTCTCTGGGCTATTCGCTTCAGGATATGAAGGCGTAAAGCTCTAGATATTTAAAACAAGATGATGCCATGGGCTGGTTAGTGACGGCAGGATTAATACGCGGCTGATATTGGTGGCCTTGCGAAAATATGCTAGGCGTTCTATTCAGGGCTGATTGGTGCACAAAATGGATGGTGCACGGCGGCGCTCCCATTGCTAGCAGGGGGCGAATAAAGGACCAAAGAAACTCGTGTCTAACCGACGCGACTCTAGAAAGTTTGCAACAGGAGTGAAAATAATGTAAAAAAGTATTGCATCTTTGAAAGCATGACACGTTTATTGACTAAAACTACATTCAAAAGTGAACAGTTTGTGACCAGTTATGGCTTCATATTTTTATGGAATTAAAATAATGGACTAAAACATTGTTAAAAAAATTCGTTCTAGTTCTAGTATACGATGTATTCAGAATTTAATTTCAGTGAAATTACTAACGGATTCGTACAAAATAGCGTATTTAAGTGATTACATTACGATTGTCGAATTACTCTGAGGGTTTAAGCTCCCGAGTCGGAAGCACGCTCATGCACACAATTCCATCTCAATAACAGTGAGCGATCAGAATCTATTTAAAGTGTGAAAACTTATTATGTACAATAACTATAATTTTGAAGCCGAAAATTTTTTGAAATTGTAAACCAAAAATCAAAAAGACCCAACTGAGCGAGTAGTATCTGTCTAAACCTCATGCAAGAATATAATAATTTGCCAACACCTTTATCTGGGTAATTCCGA